GTGGGGGGGACAAAGACACGTGAGGTTTCTGTTGTAAACTGTCGACGTCAGTGAAACATCAAAGTGTTCCACAGAGAGAAGGTGGTGTCACCATGCAGGTCCAGGCCCCCACCTTCATGAGCTGCTCGTGTTGTTGTGGGTCAAAGTCGGAGTCCAGGTCCGCCTGGCTGAAGGCCAGCTCCGTGTTTCCAGTCAGCTCCTGGAGCTTCTTCAGCTTCTCCATGATCTCACCGCGCTTCAGGTTCTTCAGCTGCTTCAGCTGCTCCTGCTTCTGCTCTTTCTCCTGAAACAGTCAAAGACACAGGTTAGCGTTAGCATTAGCATCTGGAGTCAGCTACCAAACGGCTTCAACTCATCAAGGTTCTTCAGCTGAACGTCAGACCTTCTGCTTCCTCTCCTTCACTTCCTCCCTTTTGCGTCTTCTGCGCTCGTCCTTGGAGCGCACAGACGTGGCGATGTTGCGAGGGTACGTTTTGATCTGCTCCCCGTCGGGTTCCTCAAAGCGAAAGTTGAAGTTCCGCTCAAAGTCCTGCTGCCGTTCCAGGAAAGACTCCCCCTCCCCCTCGGAGTCCTCCACATCTTCCTGCACCACCTCGGCGTAGGTTGGAATTCTGGATCAGAAATGATACAATTCCATTATACAGAATACATCCCGTACAATTAGATTCTCAATCAGCTGAACGAACACACGGAGAGCAGGGAAGAAGGTGGACGTGGACGACCGCAGGTGCCGTACCGTGTCTGGTCGTCCGCCTCTTCATCCAGGTAGCCCTTGTTGAGGACGTAGTCTCTCAGGAAACGTTCCTTCTCATCCAGCTGCGGGTCGTTCCAGAAGTCCCTCAGATATTTCTGTCACACCAACAACACAGGGCGAATAATGAAGTCACCGCCTGACCTCTGACCTCTGACCTTGGCTTTTAGTCCAAGTCCAAGGACTTACCATGTCCGTCACCCCTCCCTGAGCCTGGAGGTCAGTCTGGCCTTTCAGCCAGTCCAGGTAGTCGGCCTCCTCTCTGTCCTGGAGTCACAGCAGATCTTTGAAGAAACGCTCATCGAGTCACAGCAGATCTTTGAAGAAACGCTCGTCGACAACGTTAACGGTAAAAAAAGAAAAAGAAAAGAGGAGCAGACTCTCACCTTCTCCTCCTGTGTTTTGATCCTCCTGGTCAGCAGCTGGGAGCCCCCCTCCTGGTCACTGCCCTCACCCTCGGCCTCACTGTCCTGGATGAACTTCCTGAAGCTGTGACAGAAGATGTGACCTCCATCAGTGGACTGTCGATGACCTCAGGTCGATGACCTCAGGCCTCAGGTTTCCTCCGTCCTACCTTTCTTTCAGCTGCTGCTGCTCCTGAATGTAGCTGGGAGACGCAGCCCTCTGTAGAGGGCGACGACGAGGGGGTTAATCCACATGACATGAATGAAGGACTGCAGGTTATCATGAGCGTAAAACATCACCGACCTCTCTCTGCTCCGCAGCCTCTTCATCATCACTGTCTTCGTCATCTTCGTATTTTCTTCCCAAATGAAATAAAAACGACAGCACAGTCAGGCGTGAACTACACGTGTACGCTAGCACATGTACGCTAGCACGCTAGTTGAGTGGTAACATACAGTTTACAGCAGCTTCATGTGTTATGTGGTGTGTTTAATGTCCCTCAGTTAAAAAAACAACTTCTTTCTTATTCCTGAAGACGTGACGTGAAGTTCATTCCTCGGTGATCGTCCTCTGACGGGAGGCGTCAACAGTTAGAACCTAAGCAGTGACAACGATGCCTTCACTTACCCCTCCCGTTCCAATATAACTGTACGCTCGTAGTCCTTCAGGTACATGGGTTTCACTGGTTTCTTGGACGTTGAGGGTTTCTCCTCACTGGAGGGCTCACCTTAAAGCATAAGGTTTACGTTGAATATAGACTCGGGGTGAGATCTAGTGACCTCTAGTGGTCCTGTTTTAGACCGGTGTTGGTACCTTCAGAGTAGAACCTGGCATCTTTCTCGTAGATCCGGGGATCTTTCTTCTTCAGCAGGGACAGTGTTCTGTAAAAGTCTCTTTCCAGCGCAGGGTCGAGCTCCTGGTGGCGAACACAGGGAACAAGTTTAACTCGGAGGCACACTGTGTGTCGGAGGACAAAGATCGTAAAGAGAAGAAGCGTGGGTTCTGACCACTTCACTGTCATCCGAGCTGGACTCAGAAGAACCAGAACCACTGTCAACAGTTCGCTCTCCGAATCGAGCCTTCACTGCACAAAAACAAAAGCAGCTACTTTACAGCGAGCCCCCACGTTGTGCTGTTAGCATGACACTTAGCATCGGTCAGACACTTACGCTTCTGGAGCTCTTCCTTCTGTCGGTATTTCTCGTATTTTTGCGCGAACTCTTGGTTAATCTTCAGCTCTGGATTTCCGGACATGTTTAAAACAATAGGATGAAATATTTAAACTGAAATAAAAAGTAAACACTAAGGAAGGGAAGTCATTCCTACAGCAGGACACGCGTATAAAGGACCAGTCACATGGTTTCCGGTGTGCGAATTGGAAGTTGCACATATTGCCCTGTGGAGGGCGCCAACGTTACACAAGTTCGTTACTTTTTGTTTTATCCAAACGTTGACGGGACTTTTTTACTTTGGGACAATTTTCGTTTCTATTGCTGTACTCGATATTTGAAGAGAAAAATGTATAAATAAAAAATATATTTATATAATTCATATAATGTGTTACTTATTTTCCCATGGTTTGGTTATTTTTCCAATATATATATATATTATATATATGTATATATATATATATTGTATATAACCAGGGTTTAAATGTAAAAACATGTTCTACTACAAGTAGTTAAAGTAATTAAAGTTTGTACTGAAAGTATAAAACAAAAACTATAACATGAGAAAACCAGAAAGTCCTGAAGGAACGTCTGCTGTGAAAAAATAAACATAACCTTTGACCTCTTCGTGTGTTTGAGTTTTTAATGTGATTCAATACCGCCCCCCCCCCCCCCCACCCC